GGGAAAATAAGCATTATCACTTATTACTGAGAATTGATTGTTCAAAAAGGGAGATTTGTGATTGAACAAATTTTCTCTATGTGAGATAAAGTCACATCATGTCAGCTTTGCCCATTGTGTGTTGGTTGCGTGAACAACAGCAAGTGAGGAAAGGTGAATTTTTTCCTTCATGAAGTAGAACAGGACCACACAGGCTCAGGGCAATTGCTGCAAGACCAAGCATGTGATTGTACAGGACACCTCCATGTCCAGGGAAATCTAAAGGTGGCCTCTCAGCCGTGTGGCAAAGCAGATTAGCAAACGCATGCAGGAGCCAGCCAGCTCTGTCAACCAGCTCGATACAGAGAGTGACAGCTTCTTCCACTGCAGGGAAAATCATCGTCTCGCATCTGATCTGCTGCTGGAGCTGGCAGAGCACATTGAGTCATAGGGCAGGTGGAACTAAGCTCCCCTGGAAGAATCTGAGCAAAGCCCACCTGCTGGCTACCCCCAGACCCCGTTCTGTGGGGCTGCTCTCCAGCTGCTTGTCCCCAAGTCCTTACAAATATCCAAGGTTGCCCCATCCCAGGTGCAGAAGTCAACACTTGCTCTTCTTATATGTGATACAGCTGGTGATTTCCCAGATTTTGTTAAAATCTCTCTGCAAAGCCTCTCTACTGTCATGAAAGTCAACAGTTCCTCCCAATTTAGTGTCATCAACAAGCTTACTTAGTATACCTTCAAGTCCTGAATCCAAGATATTGATGAATAGAACACTGATCTAGTGACTTCTTTAGTGATGGGCAATCCTACCCATGGCAAGGGCATTGGAACTGGATGATTTTTGAGGTCCCTTCTAACCCAAGCCATTCCATGATTCTGTGATTCTATCAAAACATTAAAGAGAATTGGCCCTAAAATGGAGCCTGGAAGGACAGGTTCTCTTCATGCTGACCAGTAGATTTACTGGAATTACTTTTAACCCTCTGTCAGGAGCTGGAGAAAGAATACTAACTGATGCAGCAAGGCCAAATGGTCCCATTAACCACTCTGGGCAGCAACATGGCATGTAATGATTTTCAGACTTGTCAAGGTTCTTTCTGATACTTTGACCCTTTAAATCATGTATATTAATCTTCTCAAACTGCCCTCTGCTTAAGGTGGTTTAATGTATGTAGGTAATGTTGATGTGATGGTTAATAAGGCAGAGAGTTGTTCCTTGACAGAGAGCTGCCAGAGAAGAAATTCACTCTTCACTGGAGCCTGGAGCCTTGCAGGAAGGCTCCAAGTATGACCCACCAAGAGCTAAGATCTTCCTAGGTTGAAATCTGCAGCTTTGAGGACAGTCTTCCTTGGTGTCCTCTTCTGTGATTGTATTGGAGGTTATGAACAAAAGTCAGCTTTGTCCCAAACTAGGAGATGCACTGGGGTCCAGAGAAGATCCAGGAGAGCTCTATTAGATTTTGATGTGGATATTATTGGTGGATATTATTGGTAGATATTAATGGTGATTTTAGGTCATGCACCCAATTTTAAGGAATGCTGAGCATCCTTCAAATGTAGGCAAGGCTTGTGAGCAAGGGCATTCTGAAGGGTTTTGCCTAGCAGTCTTCAGTGTAACCAATATACCAATATACATATAATATACATGTATATTTTTTGGTCTGATTGCAGCTTTAATACTGCCAGTACTGAGACTGGGGCACAAGTACAGCAGATGCTGTTGCAGGTCTTTGGGATGTCAACTGGAGTATATAAGCTTTCCATTTTCCAACAGGGCTGAATGAATGATGCAGCATTCTGTCATGGAAGTCAGGGGCTTTCCAGTCCACGTGTCCCATGCATGGGTCAAAACTGTTCCAGAAAATGTGTTGACAATTATGTGCCAAGGGTCTGTTTAGCAATGGTATCAACTAGAGCAGGAGCAAGGAAGAGTTCTGCAGTGCACATAGCTAAGAGGAGTTGGGTTCAATGATCCTTATGTGTCCCTTCCAACTTGGGATATTCTATGATTCTATAAAAATTCACATTCCTTCAAGGAAAAAAAAAAAAAAAAAAGTCTCATGGAGATGTCAGAAGCATGGTGATACAAGGAGAGCAGAAGGAGGTCTCTAATATTACTGTGAGATCTGGATACTAGCTGAGAAAATCAGCCTTCAGCTGCAAAGATACCTGGTGGGAAGGAATTTCGATACCCAAGGTATAAATTACACATCCCTGCACATGGGGAGTTAGCAATAGCATAGTGATGGGCAGGGCTGTAGCACATAGGGCTGTGGCTGTGTTACAACTAGAGCATTTTGCAGTCAGTTGCACTGATCAGTCCCAGCCGAGACTCTGCTGTTCATCCCCTTGACTCAGAGTGAGGAGGGAGATGAAATTTGCTTTGCTCGAGATAGAGGCAAAAGAAACTTGCTGCTCAGGTGTAGCACATGATGGAGCAGAGACCACCACACAGGAGACCCCCCATGCCCATGCAAGGAATTGGTGTGGAGAGGAAAGGGAGGTGCATCCCCTCAAATCGTCCTCAGGAGTATCACATTAATGGGACAACAGTTCTCTTGATTTTTTTTTTTTCATGCAGCTATAAGAAGAAATCCCCATCCACCCCTTTCTGCTGCTTTTCTGACCATTTAGGCATTGTTGTCTCAGAAACATTGTTACAAATGGTATCACAGCTTCCCAGTTCGTTTCCACCCAATTCATTCAGTTTACAAGTGCAAAAGATGCTTTTGTTAATTGCCAGCTCTTCCGGCTCCTCCTGGGATCTGGAAAGCAGCTGAAATTGCCCTGGCTGTTACATCCTCAGCAGCAGCAAAAAGCCACTGCTGCAGCCTGGGAAACAGGGCTTGCATGGCTCCTATTACTGTCACGCCTGAGTATTTCACAGCCTTCAGTGTGCTGCTATTGCAACTAGAGCTGAACAACAAAAAAAAAAACACCTCTTTTCTAGGTCACTTACAGTTCTGAAGTTTCTTGAACACTTGCGTTTACCCAGATTAATGTTTTAGGAGAGCACTGGTGAATGGAAAAGGCAGAAGAAAGGCAAGTGTCATTTTCTTTCTGAGGCTTTTGTGGTTGCAATGTCATCAAGATGCAGCAGAACTGACAGCAATTCTCAGAATGTTTCTGCTTCTCTGAGGCTGGAACCATGGGGGGGACCTGCTCTCAGGTCCCCTGAACACGGGACTTGCAAGCAGCACTTTTGTTCTCCTGGCCTCACTGGCAAGAAAGCTATCAGAAGACGTGGCCAGTTTGTGAGCAAGGTTACTTCACTCTGACATGGCTTGTCATCTCAGGAAAGAAAGAAGGATCAAACAGGAGGGCTGAGTTTGAGTTGTCACATCCACTGTACATTTCCTGCTCTATTGTGTTACCTGTGGGCAGTTGAAGGCTGGGACCAACAGCTTTGCTGCTTTGGCCACAGAACCACAGAATCATTAAAGTTGGAAAAGACCACTAAGATCATCTAGTCCAGCCATCAACCCATCACCACCATGCCCACTGAACCATGTCCCTCATGCCACATCTCCACGTTTCTTGAGGGACAGACACCATCACTTCCCTGAGCAGCCTGTTCCAATGCCTGACCTCTCTGTCTGAGAAGATAGTTTCCCTAATTTCCAACTGAACCTCACTTGGCATAACATAAAGCTTCTTTTTCTGTCACTGTTACCTGGGAGAAGAGGCTGACCCCTACCTCACTACAACCTCCCTTCAGGGAGCTGTAAGGGCAATAAGTTCTCCTCTATGCCTCCTCTTTTCCAGACTAAACAATCCCAGTTCCTTCAGTTGCTCCCCATAAATCTTATGCTCCAACCTCACAGCTTCATTGCCCTTCTCTGGACATGCTCCAGGATCTTGATGTTTTTCTTATAGTGAGGGTCCCAAAACTGAACACAGTACTCTAGGTTCTGCTTCACCAGTGCCAAATACAGAGGCATGATCATCTTCCTGCTGACTGCATTGCTTCTGATATAAGCAAGGATGGCCTTCTTGACTACCTGGACATGCTGCTTGCTCATGTTCAGCTGAGTGCTGACCAACACTTCCACATCTTTTTCCTCCACATAGCTTTCAATCATTCTGCCCAAAGCCTGTATCAACACATGGGTTTGTTGTGACCTAAGTGCTGGACTCAGTACTTGGTCTTGTTGAAGCTTGTACAACTGGCCTCAACCCACCGATCCAGCCTGTACTGCAGGGCCTTCCAGTCCTAACATTTTCCTCAACTCCACATTCAGTGTGTGCTGGAGACGTTGATTCACAAGCCAGCAGTGTTTGTAAGGTTTTAGGGTGGGTAGGAGGGAATACAGCAAGCTCACACCTGCATACATCTTAGTGCTGCCATTTCCAAGTTTTTTTTCCCATTAAGACCCCCTGATTTTGAAATCAAAATGTACTCATCAGCTCTATCCCAGCTACACACACATTGACACACCTTGGCTCTCCTGATCCTCTTTCCCCAAGTGGTTTTTTCTCCCAATGGAGCCAAAAACTTCCTTCTATGCAAAATTTCCATTGCTTACTCATAGAATCATAGAATTATTAAGGTTGGAAAAAGCCACTAAGATTACCTAGTCCAGGCATCAACCCATCACCCATGTCCACTAAACCATGTCCCTCAGTGCCATATTGCCAGTGCTCATTTGTTTCTCTACTCAGTATGCTCCCCTCTCCCCACTTTGTCAGCTAAGATTGGAAGCAGCAAAAGGAACCTTCCTTATTCCTTCTTTGCAATCGCAGATTGATGCCTCCTTCTTGAGACTCCTGGCTCCAGACACAAGCATGGTTATTGAAGGCAACGTCTGAGCAATGTGCATCTTTGCTGAGCCAGAGGAGAAAGATTTCCTAGGTTTTGCACTTCATCTGTGGTGGTGATACTAGCTGGCTTTTTCCCATGTTCTTTTCCTCCCTTATGACAAAAATGTCCTTGGAAAGCTGAGTATTATCCTATTATCACCTGAAAACCTGGGATCATAGAATCACAGAATCATTTGAGTTGGAAGGGACACTTAAAGGCCATCCAGTCCAGCTCCCCTGCAATGAACAGGGACACCTATAGCTAGATCAGGTTGCCCAGAGCTCCATCCAGCCTGACACTGAATGTCTCCAGGGATGGCTGCATCCATCACCTCACTGGGCAACCCGTTCCAGTGCCTCAACATCCTTAATGTAAAAATCTTTTGTCTTACAGCCAGTCTTATCTCTGCTCTTTTAGTTTGAAACCCTTTCCCCTTGTCCTATCACAACATACCCTGAAAAAGAGTCTATCTCTCCTATAGCCTTATAATATCTTAAAGAAGATACTGGCAGGCTTGCTATCAGATCTCAGTAAGTGTCACAGTAGGAAAAAGTTGGGGATTTCTGAGTTTCCCAGCTTGAGATGCACATACCCTGTCCTGCTCTCTCCTTAGCTGAGCCTCACAAATCAGTGCCTTGATAGCAGGAACTGGTTTGCACTCCACAAGGACGTTGCAGTGCCCAAGGAATCCGCACAGGTCTGCGGGAGGTGCAGAAGGTTTTGGTACTCAGCTTGCCAAGGGAGAAAACAGTGACAGATGAGTTTGGCACTGCTGTATGTATATATTAGAGTGTATTTTCAGGCAGTTTGGAGTGGAAGAAAGGACACTTCACCCCTAATATTGTTCCTTCTTCTGCGTGATTTCTGCAATAAAGATCATGCCTGATACTGCAAACTACGGGTAGGACATCTTTCAGTATAAATTGCTGTAACCAACATGGCCATCATTTGTGCTGCCTTATAATTGGCAGGTATTTAATTAGGTAAGGAGTATTTCCGCGTCCTGCTGCTAAGTGGGAAGTCATAACCTCCCCTTCGGGTGAACACACTCTGAGTCCTCCAAAGCCTATTAGTGCAATGCAGCTTCATTTCAGCAGACAAAAGCAGTGCAAATTTGCACAGATGCTGCAACAGCTGTCTGGTTTGGACAAGCAGGATGACTGGGAGCAGGGGTGCTGCTGGAGGTGCGAGATCAAATACACTGTCTGGGTTTCTTGGAGAGCACTCTGTCCTTTGCTTTGCCCAGATGTACAGAGATAAGGGAGGAGGGAGGAGAGAGCTTAATGGAGAAATGGTGCTGGGAGCTGAGAGGTTTCCACCAGCCTGCATATCTGAAAGCCATTTTCATTATCAGAGAGTGGCTTTAAAAGGTTTCGATAGCAATCCCTCTTTGCACAAGGAGCTGGCAGAATGTTTGGTTACCAGCAGAGCTTTGGTTAAGTACATTTTCAGCAGCAAAGCTGGGAAACAAGTGCCCCTCCTCCCCTGTGACCTGCTTTCCCGAGAAAAGCACAAGCATAGCCATGCTGCTTTGCTCAGCACCTGCTCTATTCCCGCTCTTTGCAAATGCTTTTCTCGCCACCACATTCATCTGGTGGAGAGAAAGCAGGAATTAGAGCAGCCCTGACAACAGCCATGCTGACCAAGTAAAACAGACCCGTTGGATTTGCAGCAGTGGGGAAAATCTTCCAGCAGGAAAGCCTTTGCCAGTTTTGCAGGTCTGCAGCCTCCTGCCAGGCTTGTAGCATGGTGGAGAAGTTTGTTCTCTATTTCCACCATGATCCTCAGCCCTACTGACCATGGCTTTCTGCATCCCTGCATCCCCACTGCTGCCATGCGTGTCAAATTGTGGTGAAGTACTGTTCCCAGCAGCATATCTCAGGGCTCAGTCAATGAATCCCTCTCTTTCTCTGCTCACTGCTCTTTTCCCAGCTGAGCATTTCAGGGACTCGCCCTGTATCCCCTATTGATCTGGGTCCTGCCCCCACAGGAGCTGTTGGCACTGACCCTCAGCCAGAAACCATCAGATCAGCACCCAAGGGAGCTGGGTTACTCAGAGAGAGAGGGCAATGTGATCGTAATCATCAGCATTTATTTATTAGCATTTATTAGTACATCAGCCTCCTCGCTGCATTAGCATCATCTTTATTTCCCAGAGGTTTCCTCCTCTGCTGCTAATGTAAATCCAAAGCAAACCCTCTTGTAAATTCATGTATACACCCACGTAAGTTGAGGCAGAAATTACACCGCTCCCACCAGGGTGGATTTTTTTATGTTTTGCTTTACATTTTCCTTATCCTCACTCCCCCCAAAAAACCTGTAACAACCTGGCGTGTAATGTGACAGGACATCCATAGCAGCTATAGGCACAGAATAATGATGAGCAGCGATGCAGCACTCCTAAACCAGGATCCAAATGACCTTCAGGAACGGGCAGCTGCCGCTTTCCAAAATGTGAATGGGGAACAAGGGACGCACTCCAAGCATTCAAGGGGCTGTCACCTCCGCTTCTCTCGGCTGCTCAGCTTCCATGAAATGCTCATTTTGCAGAGTACAGAGGAAAAGGAGGCCAAAGAGAAAGGAGGGAGCAAAAGAAAAGCGCTGGCAGAGAAAAAAAAGTGCAGCGAGCTGAACCTGCACAATCTCAACCTTATCCTTGTGTGAATGAGTGCCTTTCGCTATCACCTGGCGTTTTGAACTCCTAATTGCACCTCGGGGCTGATTCACTGCAGCTCTTTGTTTTGATTTTGGTGTTTCCCTGAGGTTCTGACCAATTGTTCCAGCAAGGCTCAAAGCTCTGCGTCTGCCCAAGAAGCAGGGTTGTATTGGAACAGACAGGGCAACACTGATAGAATTAACCTCACTGTGGTCTGTACGGCCATGAAGCATTCTGCATTGCCTACAAGGACCTTATTAGGATGTTTGAAAGAAACGATGAAAACCCTTCAGTGTATTAAGAGGTTCACTCTTTGACCCTTCATTCCCTCCACCTCTATCTTTACTCTCATACAAACAGGTCATAGGTGCTCCACTCCAAAATGTGAGCTGCTTGTGCTAGGAGGAGGTGGCAAAGCACAAATGACCTTTTTTTCTGGCAATCCCAGAGCAGCGCTGTGAAATGGTGCAAACACTTAATGTGCTGTGATGGGACCTGTATCTTCCATGCCCAGCAGCTGAGCCGGAGGGTGTCCTGTCTCACCTGCTTACAATTTGATGAGGATGCTGGCTGAGCTCCCTCATGTTTTGCTTCAAAAAGAGCAAGTGGGAAAGGTGCACTTCCACCTCAAGCTCATCCACTGTTCTTTTGGAGGTATTGGGTGTAGAACTAAGAAAAACTCAGTGAACAGACAGCCCCAAAGGGCTCAGCACCCCCCTAGATTCTTAATCATTTCAAGATACCATTTCAAACTTCCAATACCATTTCAAAATACTGATATTATTTCAAAATACCAGTAATGTTTCAAAATACCGGTATCATTTCAAAATATTTGCACCATGCTGGGCTCTTTTCAGAGGACTTCTCACACTCCTTCCCTTTCACCTAAGATAGCAAGGACTTTCTCTTTTTTAGCTTGCTTCCCTTTGCTTTGCTGTTAATTCCCATTTCTTAGCTGGAAACAGTGCAGTGAAGCTATCCAGACTTCTCAGGTCCAGATGTATTTGTTACCGTGATCCAGTTGGATCTGTGAGGACTTTATTCCCAGGAGATTTGTGTGGGTTTTGCTAAGTGAATTGAAGTAATTTGTACCTTTAAAAGACTGCATTTCTCTCTTGGTTACAGTTAATCTTTAATCCGGCATCTTCATCTTTGCCTGCAGCACCTTAATTTGGCATCTTGATTTAATTTCTTTTACCGTCTGCTACCTCCTCCTATTCCCAGCCCCTCTGTCATCTGCCTGATTTATTTTTCTTTGTCTCTTTATCCACTAGCCCTGCACTCAGCCATTAAAATGTTCTGATTTAGGCTTCTAAAAAGCAGCATACCCGGGGGCTACATGTTTGTGGCCAAAGAGTCATCCTGGCTCTGGGGCATCCTGTACTCTTTGAGTCAGAGCTGGGACTTCTGCAGCAGTATTTGTTGGTGGTTTGCAAGGTGCTGTGTACAGGTAGACAATGTATTTTTTGTTTCTCCATCACTGATTTTGCTACAAAAAAAAAAAAAAAAGTGGGGAGAGTGGCAAGTTTGTTAGGATCATTTTGGAGAAGTGGAGGCTGATAAACAGGCAGCACAAGTGGCAGGGATGTGTACCAGAATTGGCATTTGCAGGCTCTATGTTTAGAGCAAATAATGCACTTTCATATTCCTCTATTCTTTCAGTTGCATTCAGCAGAGCAATGTTAGAAATCCCCAACTGGACAAACAGTTGTTTGAAGAGGCAAATCTGCTGCCCTGTCGTTTCCGTGGTCTGGTGTGAGCAGCCATGGGATGATGGCTGTGTACATCTTCCCATGCATGTCCAGCATCCTTTTGTTCTCTTGTGCTGTGGCTGAGGGCTTGGAGGGAGCTTTGAGTTCTTTTGGGCTCCATTTTTCATCTATGAAGAAGTCAAGAAGTATTTGGACTATAATCTCAAACACAGGGTTTGAATTTGGGGTGGTCCAATGTGGAGCCAGGAGATGGATTTAATGATCCTCGTGGATCTCTCCCAACTAAGGTTATTCTATGATTCTATTATAAATGCTGAGCTGTAAGCAGGACAAAGATTCTGTTTCTGAGACATCCTGACCATACATGGATGGGATGTGATATGTCTTGCCAGGTGCTTTGTATTGCTTTCACTCCCTTTAAACTGAAGGCATTTATACATACTTGACTAGCCAAAGGGAGTGTTTCCAGCTTGTTAACTGCTGGCTGCAATGTCTTACAATTATTTTGGCATCTGGCAGTCTCAAAAAGCATTTACTACCTTGTTTTTCCATTTTTGCTAAGCCTCCTTTCCTCTGAGACTTGATTGTGGGACCGTAGTGTCCAGGTGTATGTGCACTTTAATGCACCTGGTTCCTCTAAGGATTTCCCCTGAAATGCTTTCAGCACATATGACAAGGCTGCTGCTTATCACTTGGTGTGCTGCATCTGATTCTTCCTAGCATAATGGGACCAACTGCATAACCAGCCACAAGTCTTTAATGTGATGGGCTTTCCGTGGTAATTGAGAAATTACAGCTGGAAAGCTGATATGAAAGCTGAGAGAGTAAGCTGAACACTTTGGAGTCTAACTGGAACATACACTACACAT